TTTTAATCAAACTTTTTTTTTGCCATTTTTCCGCTAGAGTCATTTTTCCATTCGTGTAAAACTTTTCTGGTTTCTCGGCGAAAAACTGCGACAAGTAATTTTCACATTCTTCTCTTAAAGCCAACTTTACTCCATTAAGGGAGTTCTGCGTTGACCGAAACAAATGGTAGTCCGATGGTGCAAGGTCAGTGCTATATGGTGGATGCATCAAAACTTCCCAACCAATCTCTCCAAGGTTTCGCCGAGTCATCAAAAATGCGTGTGGTCTAGCATTGCCCTAATGGAAGACGAAGCTCTTTCTGTTGATCAGTTCTGGACGTTTTTTTCGATTGCTTGCTTCAATCTCAGCAGTTGTTGACAGTAAAATTTATAATCAATCGTTTGACCATACTGGAGCAGCTAATAGTGGATGATTCCTTTCCAGTCCCACCAAAGCAAACACTCAGCATAATCTTTGAGACCATTTTTGAGTTTCACCACGCTTGGACCATGATCTGTTTCTCACATTATTATCATATTTGATTCATTTTTCATCTCCTGTTACCATTCGCTTCCGATTCGGTTCGATTTCATTTCGTTTCAGCAAATAATCGCAAATGTTAATTCGTTAATTGGTCAAATCGGACAACTATACCACATATCTCACATACAACCGATTATTTAAATTTTCGCCGAAAAGTTCTTACTCGAAACCGGTTTTATATATTCTCTTAGGCAAAGTTGCTCAGAGTAAACCGTAGAACATTTTCAGCATACGCGATTTTATAGAAAAAAAAATCGATAATATACAAATAGGTACATATCAAACCAAGACGTATTAAATTATTTTTATAACTATTCTGAAACTCAATACACCGCTAAGAAAAGCTCTTAATTTAAAAGCCAAAACGCTATATCTAAAGTAATGTTATACGCCAATCCTCTGACGCTCGAGTTTGTTGCTTAAGTCTTTTGTAAAGGATTGTGTGTAACCAAAAGGAGCTTCTTTGATTGTTACTATATAATATTATTTTATTTAATAGACAAATATATTCGACATTAATAATTTAACAGCACTGCACTGTGCACTAATACTACAACAATGCTCACAAATTCCTAAATCACTGTTGGGCCCTGTCTCTTATACACATCTACGTTTTTGTTATTATTATATTTTATAATAAAAAAACTATTTTTTAAACTTTATTTTAGTGATTTTATTATTAAAATTTTTTATTATACATTTTTTTAAATTTATTTTAACGCTTTTACTATTATTTTTTAAACATTTATTATTGCAACATACATTATTTTGTTTTTGTTTTTGTTGTATTTTTAATTTTTTGCACACTTTTACCTACCTCGTCTAATTATTTTCAAACTCAAAATCACTAGTGAATTAAAAAATTTTTCAATTAACAAAACTGAAAAAAGCTCACTAACTTCGTTCGCTCACTCGGTAGATTGGCTAAATACACCTTGTACGAGTACACAATTTTATTCAATAATCTGCAAGTAACTATCCGATTTAAGCGCTTTTGTTTGAATCAAAATCAACGAAACGTCTGTGTCGCCCGACAGCCAAGTGCGGAATGAATTGCGGCTGCTGCGCAAGCACTTTGATGGCATGAAACCTCCCGCAGCAACAAGTCACCCTAGCGAAGAAAAATAACTATGAAAATACCATAGATAACTGTCTATGTATATACGTATGCAGGCTTTCCAAGCAAGTAGCCAAGCATCTTACGAAAAGAGCCAGCTAACATCAAAGAGCACATGTCGACGCGTCAACGTAATTATAGACACACACATACGCACATTTAAAGGCAGCATATACTATACGTACAAATGTCGGTATCGCTCAATCGCCAAAGCGATAATATTTCAAAGCTTTCTTGTGCGAATATTTCTCTTTAGGAGTGTCTGGCAGATATGCCCATGCAAGAGACAATGTTAGCTTTCTTATCCTTTACAGCTTTTAGGCAGACAAACTTATTTACATATATATGGATATTGAATGTTGAGTTGAAATTTATAAAGCAGAATTTGGCTGAGCACAGTGGTGTATATTAAAGATTTTGTGCGATATCCAAAAGGTGAGAAGTTTAAAGACAGTAGGTATTATATGTATACATTGTATTCAAGTACATATGTATGTATATACGTATATAGCGATAGTCGAAAAGGTCTTTTCGTATTTTTAATCAAACTTTTTTTTTGCCATTTTTCCGCTAGAGTCATTTTTCCATTCGTGTAAAACTTTTCTGGTTTCTCGGCGAAAAACTGCGACAAG